TCATACAAAAATAGTGTTAAAAAATGAACATCAGTAAACTCCAAACTGATGTACCCAATAATTGAGATTGGCTACAATAAATACTTTCCTGATATCTAACATTGCTAAAATAAAGTACTCAATTTACCAATTTCAATACTCAGATTCTTTTATGTGTATACAAGCTGCTTGATACAAGTGAAATGTTGTAAGACTAGATTCATATTTGACTAAATTATGGAATGAATAAAATAATTAAAAGAAGTTTCGAGCTATGATGGTAACTGAAATTACATTATATTCTGATATACGGTATCGTGTCCCGTTTTAATAAAATCACCATCTTAGTTGACTTCCTATGATATGAAAACGTCTCCATTGTAAATAGTATGGAAAATAGTTTAGTAATGATTTGAGAACTTTCAGAACATCTGAAATGTAATTAGTCCTGTCAATATTAATATGGGTTTCATACTTTCGTTAAGAGTGTTGCTAACACTTTTTGTATTACGTAGTAGGAATGGTAACATTTAATTAATCAAGAAAATATTATAGCTGGTTTGCTAATGTAAATACAGAGTGATTTTGCTGTTGAAATGGTAGGTTTTAAAATTTTGAGCAGCGTACATTATGCCGAAGATATTTTCAAGTAATGTGCGTTACTGATATATTGATCTAGTATATTGTTGCAGAACTCCTTGTTTGGTTTCTGAATACTGAGCTTACTCACGTTCTGTCTATCACAGACTGTAATTGCAATTACCGTTCATTGTATACGTAATTGTACTCATACATACATGTGTAAACAATGTAGTAAAATCAGACACTAGAGAAATGTTATAAATGATTTGTTATTTCAAATTTATAAAGACAATAGGACCTATTTATTTAATATCATTAAGCAAATATTTATTTAAAACATATAGCATCAAGAACACATTTTAAACAGAAATGCGGTTGTGCATGATATTACTCTAGGCAGATAAGAATCGAAATAGTTTAACATTTAGATTTTGAATTATCTGCCCGAAAACCAGTTTAGGTCTACACATATCTCAACCAAATTAATGTCTCGTTCAATTTGATATGCTCTACTTTATAGCAACGAAAATGTAAACTACACTCAGTATATGGAACCAACCTTAAATATCAGGATGGAAGTCCGCGACAACGGGACTCGCATAAAAAATGAGCCAGTTCCATTAGGAACCGCACTTCAGATTTCTATATCTTGCGAAAGTAAGTTGCTGTACACTTGGTATGACTGAGTCATTTTGTTGCACTGTTATATACTATGAATATAAGTGATCTGATGAATGTGTTTGTATATAAGTTAAAACTAAGAACTCAATTACAAATAATTTAATTCAGTAATGGTAATACCTGCATAAAGGCTTATATGAGTTGATAGCCGCCATTTACCGTGCTTACAACGCCGTTTAGTGATAGTGGTAATTAAGCGCAGTACAAAGTTTGATCTAAGTTGAAAAATACAGACAGAATATTGCATAAAATAAACATACACTAACCAAGAAAGGCAGGGATCCTTCGTTTAATTAAAAATTTAATTGTCATTATTTCCCATGTCAGGTGCTAAAACACTAATATGCACGTCTTTAATAATGTATTTTGCGTGGATTGGTAGATTGGAAATTCTATGAAATTTGTAAAAAAGAAGGAAAAATTAACGATATTTGCTTATTCTGGTATAATATGGGGTATATAGGTTTGACAGAATGATATTGCTCAATTGAAGGTATGTATAGTTTCCTTTATACTTTATACATTAACCATTATAAATCAAAAAGATGATTCGGGCAACAAGCATGAAATGCACAATCACCAGAGCAGAAGAAAATGTAGGACGAGAATGATTATTAAACCACACGTGTCTGTTAGGATATAAGGTCTTAAAGTAAACCCAACACGTTCTGGTCTGTAAATCAACAAATAATTTATCTCCTTAAAATGCAAAGTACACATTTATAAAATCGTTTACAATATTGTGAATTTAAATCACACTTCGTCATAAAAGTTGTATCATAGGTGCAAAGTTATTCAGTATTTCTCACGTATTTTATTTTTTCCCGAAAAAGTCCATTTTATTGTTACTATAAGCGAGTAGTCAAAGTCTGATGATATGTCTTAATGTATCATAGACATTTAATCAGGAATGTATTTAAGTAAATTTACAATAATAGCCTAAGTGCGCTTTATCAAAGCAACTATGATCACATTTTATTTCTAATGAATAATTCAAATATATAATTCATGTCAAATAAAGAATGAACACAACTAAATGACCGACTTCACCTCATACACATACACACACATGGGGATAATGAGCTGCTTAAAAGGCTGTTTGCTATATGACCTCTACCATTAATAATTTAAAACATCTACACAGTATTGGTATACAACACACATTGCACACATAATTTTTAAAACCGTATAATTGCTGGTTGAAAAACAAAGAGTCACATCTAAATAACATAGGTTGTTACAAAATGTCTCTGGTTTAAAAACAAAAGCATTTTGAAAGCGAGGATCAGGTGTTATACTGCAATGAATCAAGTAAAACATCTTCACTTAGCATGATCTATAGTGACGTTATTAGAATGGTTTTCACGTAAGAGAACTTCCAAACAATGTTCATGGTTTGTATCCATTTTGGTATCACATTTGCTAAGAGTTTAAATAGTTTAATAGATACGGGTACTAAAGTGAATAAAAGAAAAGCGCCGGAAAGTTATGAAAATGTTAGAGACAATTATCATGACATAATAGACATGGTCATGATCGCTCCCGCTCAGTTTCAAACTGTAAATTACTTTCTCGTATTAACTACATTCTCTTAATAAGTCCAAGCTATTCTAGGTACTAAGACCTTATACAGTTTCTTCTAGCAGATCACGTCAAACCAATTCTGTCTAGCAGGATGGAAATCAACAAACTCTACAAAATTGCGATCTTCTCTCAGGAGGTATGCATGCGTAAGTTGTGCTTGTCCATATAACGGATTGGTACAATATTTTCCGTTCTCTCCAACTTGTCGTTCACAAGGAATGACACTTAGCAGTAATGGATTGGATGTTAGTAGGCATTTAGTTGTGGAGCTACCATTCCTTGTATTTGGTTATGTATGACAAACATGTTGATTTGAACAATATTTTACATCAGGATAAGGAATCATCCATTCAGAAACAGATGACCTTACGAACGTTTTGGTCGATTTATATGCCCAGTGATTAACATTTATTCAAAATGTAAATAGCCAACGAACGTTACATATAACTATTTCAATCACGAATGTCGGTAATTTACGATGCGAAGAAGAATGGTTGAATATTCATTCATAATGTAAATTATCAATCCGCATCTATATTAGTTCAACTTTTGCTTGCGTGCGTATGTATGTATGTATGTATGTATGTATGTATGTATGTATGTATGTATGTATGTATGTATGTATGTATGTATGTATGTATGTATGTATGTATGTATGACTGCTTACAGTAACAATCGTCTGGTGCTAAACTAGCCCTGCTTCTAAATATGTCCTTGCCGACAACACATATCAATTATATGAATGTTTAAATATTAATCATACCGCTTTTTGTTTCAGTTGGATTCAACTTATTTTTGGAAATCTGCATTGCCACTGATGTTAGTCACGCGCATAGCAAGACACTTCTAATTAGTGGGTAAGAAGTTATTGTAGATTTACTTGACATTGTTATGTTTAAATTTTCATATTGCTATTTGCACTAACACAAGTTTTTACCATTAAGTAGTATTTCGTTTTCATGTTTTTATTGACTTTTTTGTGCTATTAATTTCTCTATTTCTTGCAATGTAGGTCAAGCATGGACACGGTGTTACTCTCAAATTTCACAGATATGAATACACCGACAATACCACCTATTGCCTCGTCTGCTCCAATCGTACCCAGACACAGCATGGAAGCCAGATTATATGCATTTCACTTCGTAGGCAGCTATTCGATTGAAATAGTTTGCAACATTACCGTATGCCAAAGTGACGATAACAGCTGCCCTTCCAATGTTGTTCCAACACATGTCATACTTGCACCTACTACTGGATCATCTAACACAGGATTAACACCAGTTACCTCTTCCACGACAAAATCATCTCCTCCTAATTCTGTAATTAAGAATGTTCTTTCTTATTTCATCAATTTGAAAATATTTATAAGGCTTCTTTTGAAATCAACTCTAAAATGCGCAATGGATTTACAAACATGAAAAGTGAAATAAAGGGTAAATATTATGACAAGGCATAGAAGATTGTTTCTGACATATTTTGATCAGTAAAATTTTAATAATGACATGTCATGAGGATAATTCTTCGGATAATTTGTGGTTAATATTTTCCATTTGTCCGAAATAAACATTTTTCTTTATCTGGTCTAGTGTTTGAACTATATGCTTGTTATTTTATCACAATGTAGGCGAGACGGAAAAGAAATGTTGTTCCAGTTGGACCAAGGACTGAAACGGTCAGAACATATATCAGGGTGGTTGATACATTTGCGGACATTATGCATGCATATGGCACCTCGAAAGGTAATAGGATTACACATAATTATTGACTTTCGCTGAGGCGAAGATGAAGTTTTATGAACTAGTAAACTACTCTAACACGGACTGATTCAATAAAGAATTTTCTCATTTTATTTCAAAATATAACTCTTATCATAAAATAAGGATGACTTCGATTCCTAACTGTAAGACTTTAATGCATAGAGCTATTAATATGGGGTCAGGCTTTTATATGAACGATCAGACAAGATAGATAAAGCGAATCTAATATTGCCATACAAGAAACAAATTTACAGGTTCGTGTACGATAGTAAATTTTTGTCGACGACTAAAGAATGAAAGCAATTTTACCTTGATTTTGAACTTAGGCGTTCTTCGAGTTATTAATACACACCTAGAGACACACACCATGTGCGTTGCATGAAACTGCGACTTCTTGTTTGTCTCTCCTTTTTAACTGCTCCGGTAGCCTAGTGGTTAGAACGTCCGCCTCGGTTGCGAGAGGTCGTCGGTTCGATCCCCGATCGAGTCATACCAAAGACTTACAAAAATGGTACTAACAGCTGCATCGCTTGTCGCTTAGCATTAAGAGGTTAGTGTTAGGACTGGTTGTCCTGGTGTCAGGATAATGTGAATGGGTGAGACATCATGCTACATGACTGAGGCATGAAGCCCCAGTGTTAGACATCACTATAAACTGCCACACTGCAAGTATCATGGCGATATATCTGAAATATTGTTAAAGCTACGTTAAAAATTATAAACACCAAAGACCAGCACCGTCTCTCCTTTATATATATATATATATATATATATATATATATATATATATATATATATATATATATATATATATATGCCTGCACATGCACACTAAGGCGACCATTTATTTCCGGTCGAATGTCATAACCACTACTTCATATTATACAGGCGACGTATTTTAGAATGTGTTTTATGTTGTATTCTAATGCTTGTGATTTTCTTTAAATATATGAATTAAATCATGCAATGAACACTTCTTCTGATAATAAGTGTAAAAACAGTCTTGATGTATTACAAAGTGACTAAAACAGAATAATATTTTTTGACAAGAGTAATTGTGCTCCTTATCGTTTTAGTGGAGGCAATGGTAATGGAATGTGTAGCATATATATATATATATATATATATATATATATATATATATATATATATATATATATATAGTAACAGTATTAAGATGATGAATGTAAGGATTTCGAGAATAAACAGTTTAGAGACTTTACTATTTAACCTTGTGTTACCTTTCACACTACATCTATAAAGATTGCGCTTTGTAGCCTGATTTAATACTAATGAAATCATTAATGTGCTGATAATTATTGAGTGATTTATTTTTTCGTTTTGATTGAAAGTTGTTAGTACTTTATTTTAGTTCCAGCCATCTGGGCGTGTATATTCGCCATTGCAGCCAGTGTTGCTGTTACACATATGTAGAGATGCAGACCATTGGAAATACAATCACGTCGTTATTGGTGCTGTTTTACAGGAGTGCCTACTTCCATGGATAATTATATTTAACACAATACAATGCCTACTTGATATATTGCGTAATTAAATAAAACTATTACATATTTGCCGTTCTGGTTTCTCAGTCTTCAATAGAATGTTATATAATAAAATTCGTGGCTCTTTCAGTAATTAAATGTTTATTTAGGACATTCGAATTCCTTGATTTTCTTGTATATTTATTGTATTCTAAATGGTTAAAAAGTGGCTGTATTTAGGTATTATATAATTTCACTTTCAAGAGAGAAACAAAAAAGAGTGCCATTATTAATCTTTTCTATATTTTTTCTACATCATTTTCACATCAATGTTATCATTTATCGTGGGAGTTGTGAACAACTTCGGATTGTAGAAAATGCTTTTTTAAACAGAAACTAATCATTTATGCAATATTGGTTTTTGACAAGTTTATCGATCGTTCGCAGTATATGAGTATACAACTCTATTGTCTTAAAGTAACATAGTAATTAAGAATAAACATAATTGTTGTCAATTTCAGCGAATTATTTTTCTCCATTGAGTACATATTATTTTTAGTTTGGATTGAAAGTCATTTATAAGCACGTATAAAACTATACATGGCAGAAAATATAAAAGAGAACCTGCGAGAAGTTTATCACATACCCACATTGGCTGAGCCAGAGATTGTAACTCACGGTATGACGGCAGTGATTGGATTAGGCGACAGCTTTAGACCACTCTACCATTCGAAATCCCTTTCGTAGAATACAAAGTGAAAATTCAAAAATAAATTAAGTTATTATGAATAAAATTCTAAATAGTCCAAAAAGTTTCATCACATGTCAAAAGGTATAAGGTACTACAAATGGGCTCCGTTGATGTTCCTAATGAAGGCAAATATTGAATGAGCTAATGCGTAAGAAACTTTAAATCTGATCACGTGCAAACAGTTTTCGTGCATCACAATCAGATGCAATTAAATGTATTTAACTGAACTCGCAGAAATCCCGAAAGAGCGATTTTATCCTACAAAGGATGTGTACCTTTTATTACCAATGAAAAATTGAAATAAATAAATCCTCGCAAATAATATTTTAAAGCTTGCCAAGGGCAGATTCTACTTATCGCATCCTAACCAGAGGAAGCTGTAAGGCAAGCAACCGCTATATAATAACATAAGTTGCAAAAGGAGGACCACAACGCGATAAGGGCCGTAAGTTCTTTTTCGGATTATTCTATGTTATAATCAAGGGTAGGTCGTTAACTGCAATTTTGCAGCCAATCAATCAGAATTCAGTAAACAACATAATTTCCAAAACAATTGAAAGTACAAATCAACAAAATGGATACAATTATCTATTGAACTTCTTTCTAAGCATGATACTTTAAATCTATAATGGTGAAGACGATAGTAAACACAAAATTTAGATAGCCATATCATCTTCCCTTGAAACAACTTATGTCTCGTACAATACAATAATCTTTTGAATATTGGTCGAGTAAACGTTTAATTAAATTTGCGTTCGTATATGTCTTATGAATATACTTAGATGCAAGATATAGTAATGTAAAAATTCTACACAATAAAAAGTTCATTAATCGAAATTTTTAAATTATTGAGATCAAAACTCTGGAACATTCGCAAGTATATCCTTTCATTCATCAAGCGTCTCCTGACAATGTCAGACCAATGAAATTTAGTTTACATACTCAAACAATGGTTTGACGTTCAGTAGTTATAGAAAATTAAAGCAAACCAGTATATAATATTCTGACATACTAAATAAAAACAGGAGGTGGATTTTTGCTGATACTAGGAATTCAGAGATGGTCTTGACCTAAGATCTATATCCTTAACTGGACCATAATCACGAATATATATATATATATATATATATATATATATATATATATATATATATATATATATATATATATATATATATATATATATATATTGAAACAACCTAGATAAATACATTTATCGGGCTAAACCGTATATCTTTTGAAAGTTGAATAAACTCATATAGTAGCTGATATAGTGTATGCCGTTATGAAACGTTAACAAACCAATTCTTTGGGATTACCAAGTTTGTAAACTTGACTTATAATAACGGTTCTGTTATAAACATTATCATCTTTCACAATACTTTGTACATGTTAGGAGAAGTATTAAGAGGGTTTTATTTCTTTAGTGATGACAAAATTTCTAACTTATGGTAGTTGTTTAGACGAAGCAACTAATATTATGGTAAAACCAATAGCATATAACTGTCCTCAATTATTACTGACAAAGTGTAACATTAACGGAGATATGATAGATTAAAGTAACAGAATTCATGGAGACACTGCGAACAGTTTTGTTAATGTCCAATTGTCTAGTTTATATTAGAACATGAATATGTTTATCATGTAAGATAAAAAGCATAAAAATATGCGGTTCAGGAAGCTAAAAAAAAAAACGATAATATTACTCTTAAACAAGATCTCAAACACAGGTTGATGTATGCGGTTCAGCCTTAACCTATAGTCGACTAATATCCGAAAAGAATATGTGAAAAGAACTGATTTAGTTTTGAAAACGAATGAAATGCTCAATGAAATTACTCCCAATCCACTGAAGGTGATGTCATCAAAATATGTTTACATCTATCCCAGGTCAACCAATAAACAATTTGTATATTCTCATCTAATATTTGTAGGCAGTAAGCAAAAGTCGCAATACCATCTTCCAGAACATATCGTTCGGTATCGTACCAGGATGAAACCACTTCGTTGAGAAAGTATGTAAATTGTTTATGTAAATTCTATCTGATCGTACTCATGTTATAAATTATTTTAATTTCACCAAACATCTCCAATTAATGATCATGCATCAGAGCTTTTTGATATTATTTTGTTTTTGTATTGCCTTGTATTTTAACATCCGCGCCTACTAATTTGACCAAGTACATTTTACTTCGTAATTCGACCACATCCGCTACAGGCACAGTTTTAGTATGATCCTTAAATTTCCAATGACGTCTTCGTTAGAATCAACGCTAAAACTGATTCGTTTTAGGATAATCAAAAATACGACTACATGTTTTTCCTGAGAACATAGACTGGAACAAATCCTCGGATTTGATTTCGTAACCTCGTCTGTCCACGTCGATAAACAAGTAAGCATTAATCCCTTATCACGATTTTATGCCTCAGTAATGAAATTGTTCATAAAAAGTTTGGATAGATCGAATACCGTAAAACCGGAATAGATTGTTTAGATTATCACCAACTCAGTGTTTTCTTCCTATTTATTCCTAAACTTTCGTCAAAAATTCTGATGCTGACAAATTCAGTCTTCATTATAACATCATGACCCAACAAGTCATCTATTCGCTTTCGAATGTTTCTTTTCCATGGTTTTGCCAAACACTAAATTGTTCATCAACTTAAAGATATGTTTCTCAAAATCACTTTTAACCAATGACCTTTTTGAAGAGTTAAAACTAATATAAGTTTACAAACCTGTTTGTTGATAAAATTTGAGCACACGATGATCATTCGACTCTTAACCGGTTACATTGACTAAGATTTTTGTAATTACTGACATACAGACTTTTTCTAATGAGGTTACTTACTAATTTAGACACTTTTCCTCCACATTCTAATGTGATCTTTGGCTGCAGTATATGAGGTCTCATCATGTTTTTGTCATCTATTAACATTCTGGTAAAAGCGGGTATTCATTATGCTGCTTGTGGAGGTCCTGAGGATAAAATAAATTGACTTAGCGAAAGCATCTGGTGTTATTATCGTTGTTGATTATGTCCTCTGTAAACGTTTCCTATTCATCCACGAAACATTTACGTCGGACATTTGCTGTTATATCGCCCAACCATGAAGATCATTGGTATAAAAATGATATATTAGGATTCCTTATTAGGATCAAATTGAGGTAAATATTTGTTGTTGGCTTTGGAATGTCTTTAAGTAACGATGTTCATCTCTCCTTGAATTCCTTTCAAGATAAAATTGAACATA